AATGCAGGGCATCAACCAATAGGCATGCAGCTTTCCTCTATACTTCTTGCTGATTGGCTGTTGGGATTTAACTTGATTAACACCTGCACAGAGCATTTCCACCTGCACAGAGCATTTCTTGCTGATTGGCTGTTGGGATTTAACTTGATTAACACCTGCACAGAGCATTTCCATACTGACAGTATGTCTTTATTCAAGTGTTTTGGTAGGTATTTCAAGCTTTTCTGCTCCAGCATTGGAATGCGGGGCATAAACGTTTTTTTTTTTGGAAATCAACAGTTTGCATTATGCAATTAAAAATCCTAACCAATAAAGTAGGGAATAGCTATCCAACTGTTGTTTTAGTTGTATGTTACTTCATATTATAGTTATATCAATGTAAATCATTGTTTTCCCTTGTGTTTCTCATTCTTTCCCTGCCATGTCGTAAAATGTGGTGAGCCCATCGCTGTATTTGCTCCAAAGCAAATATTGGCCTTTCTAGTTCATTTTATTTTTTTATTTTTTATTCGGCATCATTCCATACTTAAAGCGTTTGAAAAACCTACAACCGGCCAACGATGCGTAGCAAGCAACCGTTTTCCGTCTCTGAAGTCGCATTTTCAACTTAGTTCGAAACCTCCTTCATTATGTCATTAATTTGAATATTTCATAACCAAAGGCTCATCAAACCAAACATCAATTCCTGCACTTAAAGATCTATAATATATATGTATTATTATTGATAGCAGTAAGATGCATTGGCGAGTTTTTAACAGTTTCGTACTATTATTTCCTCCTAAGGATGCTGCTGTTGGGTGATCTGACAGCAAATAAGCAAGCAAACGATGAAGAGCCTGGCGTGATCAACAATGCCGCCATTGAGGTGACCAACTGCGCCTATGAAGCCGATAACGTGCAGGCGGGCGGCGAAGACGCCATATGTTTCGGTGATGGCAATGAGAGGAACGAGCCGCCATCGACTCCTACTGAGGGTGTCTCCGGATCATCTGGCCTTTCAGAGCTGATCGCGGTGGTCAGGGAAGTTGGGGCTCTGACCAATGCCGTGGTCAGGGAAGTTGGGGCTCTGACCAATGCCGTGGTCAGGGAAGTTGGCGTGACCAATGCCGAGATCAGAGAGCTGACCAAGGCCGTGAAGAACGCAGAGGATGTGTCCGACTACATCCTGCTAGCCAAAGTCCTGGACAGGCTGTGTCTTGTCATGTACGTCATCACCATCGTGGCAACCGTTCCTATGACCATGTATTTGGCCAAGTAAAGGTGCAGCATCAACCTCGATCCATGGACGGTTTGTCACGTTAACTAGCAATTTATGATAAATGTCTAGGAAGTTTTATCCGACTTGCTGAACAAGCATGTATGCATTTGGAGCATTTTAAACTATGTTATAGGATACCCAATACTTTTAAACAATGTTACCTAATTCTTTTATTCACGTTATGTATCGAATTTACCACTTTCTTTAATTGTAATTTACGCAATATTTATATAGTTTGACTTCACCTAGTTTTAGGGAAGAGATCATCAAATAACAAAATCTAATTCATATTAATTTAATTCCAAGGTTAATAATAATTAAGAGATATACAGTCCTATCCCAGTAGATATTTTGACAAACTAACTTTTCGCATGTTATTACAGGAGTTAGTATTTTATGCAGATAATATTGTATATAGCTCTTTGCCTGATTGGTAAATTTGAGTATAAGGTGTCGTTATCCGCGTAATCAAGAACGTATGTGCAAATGGTTTCTCTTTTGTTTACATCTTTTTCTCTTTTGGTATTTTCTATTACATTGACCTTTTATCTCTTTAAGGAAATGATCAAACTCTAGATTGTTGATTTGGAATTATTTTGCAACTGTTCTCCTGTATACTTTTTATGTAAAAGTCACCATGACTATTAAGGCAGGACACAGAATTAAAGTGACATAGTTCACTTATCAATTCCTTAACCCTATCTAGACCTGGCTTTTTTTAGATCATTAAGACTGGGGGGAGGGGGAATTCTCATTCGCCCCCCCTCAGAACTCGAGAGCGGTATATCGTATGACCGCCAAATTTTTAGAGCATGGTGTACTCAAAAATTCAATCATATGAACAATTTTGATATCATTATGTCGTTATTCATGTGATTTTTTTTGCCTTAAACCGTTTTTCTCTTAAAACTTAATTGTATACAACAGAAAAAAAGTGTTTATGATAGAATATTAAGGTCTACTTGATCGTATGTTGCCCAATAGCAACACCAGTGCTATATTTATAGTGCTATAGTCATGCATATTTAAACTGTCCGCCATATTGGATACGCAATATTGAATTTTCGAAAATACTTTTTTTGTAGGGATGAAATTTTAATGAAAATAGCCGGTATGTACCTAATCTAATAATATGCTCCGCCATCTTGGATTTCGGCTAATGACGTCATCAAATTAGCATAAATTATGCATAATTATTGAAAAAATTACTAAAAAAGTATATAACATGTTATTAATATTAGAAAGCATGTGAAAATTAACATGGAAGCCTGAAATTTTCATTGTTTAAGTCAAAATTACTGATTTTTACAAAAAATGCGTGTTAACACGAAACATTACTAATTTATCTTACTGCTATAAAATGTTGGCAACACTATTTTGGCAACAATATTATCGGACATCAAAGTTGGTGCGGGCACTTTTAGCCCCCCTCCCCCAGTCTAGATAGGGTTACAACTATATGAATGATTAGATATGATTTTTCTGTACTAGGTATTGCATTCGGCTCTGCAATACGTTTTACTAATGTAGCGGGGTTATCTAAGCGATAGCTGACTCCGCATACTGAATATAAATGCTAATGACATACATGTTCATACCTAATAAGTACGAAACCAAATATTAAACGGCTGCATAGAAATGTTTTTATATTGGTAAGAGATCTCATTTTGACCAGCCCGATGGTTTTAGGACGTCAAAGTAGTGAAAGCTCGATGTAACTGAGGAGATTAGGGCGTAGTTTTGGCAGCCATACGATAGGTCGGATGTGTACAGTCCAGTGTCGTGAGTAGTGCGGTCTCATGTATTTTTTATGTTCAAACATCTAATTACAAGAGTCGGTGACGGTACACTCAGGGGACAATACAATACTCTTTTTCACCTGAGTTAAGTGAGAAAAAATCATGTAAAGTGCCTTTCCCAAGGGCACAAGTCGATGGCATGTGAGGACTCGAACCCGGGACCTTTTGGTTCCGAGAAGAGCACTCTGCCGCTATGCCACACTACCCCACAGTCTCAGGTTTGCCGCTTGTAATTGCCATAAACAGGGATTGTTTGAATGGAAGTCATTGGCATTTTTCACGTGATGGAGAATATAAGTGTGTCCAACAAATCATATAATTATTGCAGAATATAAATTAAATTGTTGTAGGATTATTAGCAACTCGGCCATGTAGGACCCTCATTAATGCCTGGTTCCTAATGTTTCAAAAGAAAACAACTTATGAATGAGACCTTATACACATGGGCATTTAGCAAATTCTAATTACTTTCGTAACACCTGGTGTACTGTGCTTACGGAATAAAATGTGGTCATGGTGCACGGCGTTTGTTTTGAGTGTGTTCTTGTCATTTAACACTACGATCAACTTCAATTAACATGTTCATTTTTCAAAGAATTCTACTACTACAACTTAGCCTGTGTGCCATCCCCAGTAGTATTCGCACGCTCTATAACTGGGTCTGGACTTGAACACATATGTAGCGTCTGGAGTCTGAATATTCGTTCAGATTTTGAACGAGCGCGCTGATTGGTCCTACTCGTTTAAGCCCTTTTTGGGGTATGTACATATTAGGTAAGGGCCATTCGGACGTCCGAACGGCGACGTTAGCGTCCGTTCGAACGTCCGAACGCCTTATCATCAACATGTCCGACGGCGAACCGAACGCTAAAGCGCACATGATATAGCCGTAGTCAGTCTTTCCGCGATAAATCATCAACATGGCTGACGAACAAGCCGCTCAGCTCACGGAGGTTGATGTTGACTTCGCAATCACGTCCGTTTTGGACGATTTAGACGGAATATCGTCGCTCAAAAATGAGCAAAAAGATGCATTGAATAATTTCGTTCGTGATGTTTTGGGCGTCCTACCGGTAAAAAAAGAACGCACCGAGAAAAGGAACCCTCGCGCGAAGATCTGTGTTTACAAAACAACAAACATCACTTGAATAATGCAGGCGCACCATTGGCCGTCGCCTCTGAGGCTCAGCCAATCAAATGAAGCCCCGCTGCTCGGGCTAGCCCATTACGTGACGTCATCACCAATCGTTTTATATGTGATCAAGTCCAGACCCAGTTATAGAGCTGGCGAATATACTACTGGGGATGGCACCCAGGCTAACTACAACTGCCACTCAGTCTCAGAAGACTATGACTTTAACTACGCCAAGCAAATAAACATGATGGCTCATCCCTATTTACAAATCACAGTTGAGCCTAAAACGGAATGCCATAATTTGCCTAATAATTGTACCAAACATGGCGCATGTCTCGAAAGCCTTACTAAAATGTACAGAACGGATAAGGTCTAAAGGTTGCAGGATCTGCTGTTGTAGATACGACTTATGCTATATTTTGGGACAATGCTGTATCAAAAGTTTGCAATTTTCTATGTAACCCTTTAAATGTATTCAAGTAGATAACAATGACAATAAATAAATGGGTTTCTGCGGTGTTCGATTTTCGAGAAACATCCCATAGTAATCAAATATTTATCATCGATATAAAATTGCTAAGTTAATGGTTAAAATCTTTAGTAATAATTTGTTAGATTTATAACCAGAAATTGAAAAAAAAGAGAAAATAATTGTAACTAATGGTTCAAATCTAAAGCACAAGCGATGGAGCCCATTAGATTACCAGGAGTTTCGATTTCCAATATCTTCCCACGAGGAATCATGGTATGAATCCCAATTGACGTCACAATGGACTGACATCTCGCGAGAGTACTGTTGGGCGAGAAGTCAGGCCATGTGACTAACGCCTTCTACTTTACCCTGACTGAGTGAGCGGTAACTTATGTAACGTGCGTAGACCAATCTGTACCTCGGTATACTCTCTAGGAGTCACTCCTAAAAAACAGCTACTCATTAAGCAACTGAGTATAATTTCGGAAACGGTCAAATGTCTCAGGTAGCATCCACTACCTTTCGTCAGGGACAAGAAACCGAAGGAGACATGCAGGTTAATATGTACGAACTATTGAAACATCTGACTGTTTCCAAAATAAAATGCAGTTGCTTGAGAAGCTGTTTTTGGCGTGACTCCTAGAGAGTATACCGAGGTACAGATTGGTCTACGCCCGTTACATAAGTAACGCTTTTTTCGTTTCCTTCCTTTGTTTGTGTTGTTTGAATTTGCTTCTTTACAGTTCAAGGGGCCAATACAGGATTAGTGATTTTCTAGATGATTTTTGTAATGTTATGTTTAGGCTTTATACATGAATAGAACTTGTAAAATGTCAACATTATATTTTTCGTTTTTAGGTAAAAACAAACTGCATATCTAAAGTACTGATTGTCTGTTTGAGCTTAGGACATCAGGACCAGCTTAGAGTCTCTAAAGAGCACGATACATGTTTTAAGGGGACGAGAGGAGGGGGAATTCGAATGACCGGTGTATTTGTCCTTGCTGGGACACTGGTCATGCTGGCTTTAACACATTTAACCCTACCTAGACCGGGCTTTTTTTGACATGGGGGGACCGGGGGGGGG